CGGCGTTTTGTTTTCAAAATTCTATACATTGACAAAATAAATAACCTCACACACAACACAAGGGTGTTTTATTTATTGCATGTTCAGAAAACATAAATTGAAATTATTAGTCTCTTGACAGAAGCCACCTTAATTGTGCCACCTCAAAGCACTTAACCACTGTTAATTTAGACATTATTTTGCTTGCTTTTGGATTTTAGTTATTGCAGACTGAGATTTTGAGTTTGGTAAATGTTAACATGTGAAGTTAGGGGATGAAGCACATATTGAAGATTCAAAAACAAAAAGGTATTAATTAGATATTATACTTTTCATCTCTGTCTATGGTCCCATACCTGGTCCTAGGCCTGGATAAAGGTGGAGGGTCGTGTTAAGCCTTTGGAAGCCAATACAAGACTTGTCAATATGACACAGGGATCACTCACAGAATATTTCTACTCTTACAATGAGTCAAATGACGTCCTGTGATCTATGTAGTCAACTGAACCTGGTGATATAAGACTTTGTTGTTTTTGTTGTTATCTAAATACAATACTTTTCATCAACTATACTTTATTTGTTATTCCTTAACAAGGGACAGGGGTACTTGTTAGCTGAACCCTTCATGTTATAATTGTTCCAAATTCCAAGACAATACAATTCTGCGCGACATAAATTCTTGCAATCTCCACAGATTGCTAGTCGTGGGAATTCATTATACAATGCTGACATCCATTCTCACTAGCAAACTTTTGCCATGGAAATAACCAACTGCAATAGTGGCTATACACGAATTTCTTCAATCTATAATAGCTATAGCTAACCAGAGGCCGTGATGAAAGTGAAATCTGCTTCTGAATATGCACTAAAACCTAAAACGATTTTAAATTTACAATGTCACCAAATCATAAACTTTCATATATAGACAGCCTTACAATAACTACCAGCTAATTCATACCAAACATGACTACTAATTGGTTCACAGGGAAATTTATCGACACGGTCGATGAAGAAATACCTGAGAACTTTGCACTTCAGATTTGAACTTGGACAGACTCGATTCTTGAATTACCTCTGACTGCGAAACTCCAAAGGAAAACGCATGCAAATCAATTATAGCTCCAAACTCAGAACGCTTAATTCATACCTCGCGAAAATAAAAACAAACAAGAAAACCCCCTCACCTTCTGCATTTCGATCTTTGAAACAAAAGAATTAACTACATTTTCCAAACTATCATTAAGAACTTGGGTGATTGCAGAAGTTATCGCTTCGGCTTGTTTGGAAGGAACTCCTTTGGCCTCTAAACCCCTTACCTAGGGCAACACAATTTATCTCACAAGCCAAACCGCGAAAGCAAGTTTCGAATCAAACAAAAAGTAATTGAAATCTACCAGCGCAAGTGTGTCGACGAGGAACGCGCGCTTTAGGTTGGAGTTCAGGGCCTGCGAAAGGTGCCTGCTACTCTGCAACGTCATAGAAGGGAGTACATAGTCGAGGTCGGTGAACTTGGCCAGGCAGAGACGACGGTTGGAACACAAGTGAAAAGCGCGTTTGCACAACGCCATTCGACGCAAGTCCAGAAATGTGACGCAAAGTTGGAATATGAAGATTTGGGCAAAGAGAGAAAAACGGAGAAGCTGCAGTCGGCAGAGGCGGGCACGAATTAAACGCCTCTTTGTCCAATATTGCTTGTCAGAAACGCCAGAGGCAACCAATACATTATTATGATAATAAAAAACTAAAAAACAATTTTACTAATTATTATTAAAATAAAAAACATTATTAAATTTATAAAACATATATTCTCATAAAAACAGTTATAAATTATAAATGAAAATGAAAAATTAATAAAATTACTTATATTTAAAATTTAAAATCAACAATAAAAATATGTATACTAGAAAGAAAAATACTAAATATATAAAAAATATGTTAGAAATTATTAATTATTTTATTGTTATTATTATTAATATTAAAATGAAATCTTAATAATATTTTGGTTTGTCTTCATTAATTATCACGCGTTATTATTGTTTATATTAAAATAAAATATTAATAATATTTTAGTTCGTCTTCATTAATTATCACGTATTATTATTGTTTATATTAAATAAAATCTTAATAATGCTTTCAATCCAAAAATTTGAGATAAGTTTTTTAATAATCAATGGAAATAAAAATATATGTTTTAAATTTTGAGTGACTACAACATTCATTTTAAAATTTGAAAAAATCAATAATTATTTAATGGGATATATTTAAGTTTGTACTAATTAATTTACTATTTAATATGTTTCTCAATATTTTCAATAAATTATAGCTTTGATATATAATGTTTGTTTGTATGTGGCTTTTTGGACACTCGTACTTTATAGATGTTTCAGTTTCTATTTTTCAACTTTTCCAATTCATGATCTTCCAAACTATTGGAAGTATATCTTAATACATGTTATTTTAAATGTTCTAATTATTGAACCCACTTTGCACGAACAATTTATTTTTAATACTCGTAGTGTAACTTTTATTTACCATAAAACTATTTACAGTCTAAACATGTCCTAATGTAGCTTATTTAATTTGTTTATCATTACTAAGACACATTTAGGTTGATTAATTGTATTAGACTATTGAGCTTGTTCAGTTGATGAGACAGCCCAACATGAACAATGAAGTTAAACGATTGATTTCGGACTAATATATATCTCTTAATATTTGATTAAAAGGTTGATACTATATATCTAATTTTATAAATTTAAAATAAAAATCTACATACTATATATCTAATTATACGTTGACTTAAAATTTTAAATTATGTATGAATAATTTTTTAACATTTCAAAATTTTAATAATATTAGCACTGTTATAAAAATCATCACATATTTAATGAAATGGAACAATTAAACAAAAATTATACATAAAACAATTACAATTATCTAAATATAACTATAACACTAAAATATATACACACAAGAAGAAAGTCCAACAAATTAATTTACGCTTAAGAAATAGAGAATAGTCATTTTAAGGATTTCTTTTAAATCCTAGTAGCATCATGTATCATTTCACACTCTTTCGTAATCTCGTATTAACTTTAAATCAAACTCGTATATATAATTAGTTAAATCTACACTAAATTTCTAATACAAACAAAGTAAAATTCATACAACATATCTTAAACAAACATACATCAAATAGTGTAGAAAAACATTATAAAACTAATAAAACAAGATTCACTTAGCAAGCAATATTACTTGCCCAGTGAAATATTAGGAAAAACCACATTCAAATTTGTAGGGAAAAGTGGCGCTCAATGTCCTATTCCACCACTCAACGCTCATAAGTCACAGAGCTTACTGACTTTTTGACACTCAGCGTCCCAAGGTAGCGCTTAGTACTATACCAGAAGATGCAATATTGTGATACTTGATCTAGATGCACTCAATACATTTTCAAATGTCCAAACTAGTATTATTAGCACAATAATTTTTTTGAAAGTAGGTTTTCTACTTAGAAGGAATACCATTTTTCTCATTTGTTCAATAATTTATCCCATTTAATCAAACCAACTACCCGAAAATACAACCAAACAAATTTCACATGTTACAAACTAGATTTGTATGAATAAAATGGCTAAACGAGTCTTAAATAACTCAAAAACATACTTCAAACCCCAAGTTCCTCCCCAAACACAATCCTTTAAAATTTCACTTGTCAAAACCCCCAAACTAGACCAAAAACTAACTTAGGATTATCCATTTTCACCACTTAAAAATTAACAACAATTTTTAACAAATTATAACCTTAAACATGACAACTTAAGTGATCAAAACATATATCATTCAACAAGTCTTCATAATAATAGTTTTATAATTTTAGATAACACGCATTCATATCAATTTCAATCAATCATACTACCATATCATAGGATTTTTCAACAAGTTATATATATCCTAACTCCATAACTAATTAATTTTCTTAATCGAAGCATACAAATTCAAATTTAATAGATTTTCTTAAAGCTTATAAACAAACATACAGATGTTAGAAACTCAAACACCTCTCCGAGATTAAAAAAAATATATTTCCTCACTTAAGAAAATTCTATCTACAACTACATATTACTAAATCATGATCAAGATATGTGGTTTAAAGAAATATATTGTTGTCATTATGACAAAGCCACTTCTCGATATTAAAAGACACGACCAGGTTTAAAACTTGAAGAGAGAAAATAAATGATATTCAAAGAATAAGTTACATGTATGTGCTTTTAAATAATGAAACTTTTTAATAGACTTTCTATTTATCCATTTTATTTTTAATATTAAAATAATACGAACTTATTATTTAAAATACTTTACAATTATACCCTTATAAAAAAATATTAAAAGTTAATAGATATATTTTTATTAAACAAAAAAAATTATATATACCTTTTAAAATATCACAACATAGACTTTTAATTTTTTTATGTCACCTTTTGTTATATATATATATATATATGTATAATTATACCTAGACTTTATTTTTTGTGTCTGTATCTGTTTTTTAACTTGACTCTTTATATATAATTATATATAAAAGATTTTTTTTTAAATTTTATATTTGTTTATATTTTAAATAAAGATAATTATTTTATTATTTAAGTGACTTTTTTTAAATTAATATATTTTTTCGCTTTAACCCCTTTTTATATTTAACTATTTTTTAAATTATAAAATTATCTACAAAATAAGAAAATATTTATAATAAATTATAAAAACATTTATATTTAATATCACAATTATAATAATAACAATAATAATTTTATTATTATTTTTATTAAAAATAAAAGTCAACATACTCATGTGTTTTCCTAATATATAAATTAAAATTTATAAACACAATTTTTTATACAAATGTTAGTTCTAAAAATCTAAGACAGTAATTTTTACAATTAAGCAAAAATTAACCAAGAAAAGAAGAGGGAGACCATGCATTGTGACTGACGTGATACTATTTATATGCCTCCTTCCTGACTCTAACAGAGAACAAAAGAAACCCTTGCGGCTGCTCTGTTGGAAATAGAGCGCTACATATATCAACTTGGGATCAAGTAGCGTTGCAAATAATCGAACAACGGAATCCATCTACGGTTTTGACCGTACCTCTCTCAGGTTCTTCCCTTAATCCCTCTTTACTTTTGCTTATTCAGTTTGACGTGACTCTAGGTTAGGGTTAGGGTTAAATTTGAATCCGCTTCTAATTCATCGTAGCTCTTTGTCGATTCGTCTATGATTTCCTCCCTTTTATCCCATTTCATGGCGTCGATGCTCGAAAGTTCGTGACCGTTATCTAATTCATCGAACGTCTTTGTCGATTCGTTTGTGACCGTTATCTGATTTAGGCTTTGGATTTCGAATCTGTAAAATTAGGTTTGAACGTAAATGATTTACGATGTTTGCTGTGTTTTTTCCTGGTGTCGGGAAACAACTTTGCTAGGATGTATGCACGTGACGATTTTCGTGCTTTGAATTATTTGATTATGGATAGAGAAAAGAATGACAATCAGGTTAAAAGTTTAATTAATGCTTTTGATAGTGAGAAATTAATTTCAAGCTGTGGTGGATTGTGGGAAGTGGAATTTCAGGGATGAAATGTTTTACTTCTGGCGCTGGTGAATTTTGGAACAGTATTTTATTTGGAATTACTAATCGAGAACCAGCTAAAAAATGTATAGCGTGTTGTGTCCCACTATATTTACAATATCATGACATTATGGTTCTGTACATTTCTCTGCATATTTGTGTCCCACTATATTTACAATATCATGACATTATGATAATTTTTCTAGATATTTAGATGGAATATGGAACCTAGTTTGAAATTTATAGTCTCTTCATGAGATTTAATTGTTTTTTCCTGCACTGTCCTTTCGTATAACAGAGAATTTAATGAGTAAATAGATCCGCACCATACTGTGGTCCAACTGCTCCCTTCACTTTGCCAAATCTGAACATGCCCAGATATATGATATCAGTTGCCTTTGTATGATACTACGGCTTTTGTGGATTTTAATTCGCGAGGAATAATGAGTCCTATACACTACGATAAGCCCATCGATAAGGATCTAAATATTTCTGAAAACTGTTTAATGGATTCCCATCTCAATTTTAAGTCTAGTACATAGACCAAAAGGGGGAAAACTCCCACAGTTGCAATGGTTTCTCCAGCAGTGTAACTGAATCTGTCCTATAGCCACCCAATGAGTTTATATTATTGCCTTTTTAAATCCATGTCAGACTCAGAACCATTCACATACATATACTTAACAGCTTAAGTTATTGTTATAGTTGTTGATTCATGATGGTATCAGAGATTCTATGACCATTTTGTCAGCTCAGTGGTCCTAAGCAGCCCCTTTCTTCTAAATAAAATTCAAATGTTTGCACAAGGTTGGACGAGTTCTGGACCATTGTCCATGTTCAAGATGGAAAATCTCTTGCAGTAACGGGCATTCTAGACATATAAAAACAATTCACACGCTTTTGTTCAACACCTTAAGTCTTTTGGAATGCTGGTTCATGACAACCTGGACCTTCTAGGGAAAGATTTGTGCAATTTTTGCTTTAAATATGGCGGTGATGCAAATAATAGGTAGATGTAATGTTGGATGGGGTTCACCTGGTCCCATATAACTCCTAATCAACATGGGGATGGTTGTTCTTATTAGTAGGGAAGTCTGCTGAAGAACTTATTTTCATTTAAAGGCACCTGTATTTTTCCGTTAGCAAGATGTAGCTGTCTATAACCATGTTTGTCTCCTTTCTTTTCTCAGTGGTCATTTTCTTTATTTTATTCCTCCATTGCCTCTACAGGATAATAGTTTTTCACCATTCACCAAACTAAAACCATGCCCCCAGATGCCTTTCTTTGTGATTCAATATTTTACCTTATCCCTCTTCTCTATTGGGTCAGCTTCGCCGAAAGATGAAGTGACGTGCTTTCTGTTGTTTTTTCAAAGGTAGAGTGATCTTATGTTGGGAATATATTATTTGTGGGACGCACGTGAATATTATGAAGAATGGTGCCCAGGGGCTCGCTATCAATTTTTTGGTGCTGAGTGCAGTGGTATTTGATTGATGTGAATGTGAGATGGATTGCATGTTGAAAATTTCATGTTCTATACTGTTGGAATTTGCGGTTTTTATATTTTGAAGGGGAGGTAGGGGGTTTGCCTTGGCTAGTTGGCTTAAGGATGATATTGGATGTTGGTTGTGATGTGGACAGGAAGGAGGCGGTGGCTGGTGGTGTTGGTTGTGGTGGAGGTGGTTTTGCTGATCAGTTGTGGTTGAGGGTAGGAAAGAAAAAAGGTGAAAATGAGTTCAGACAGCCGCAGCAGGAGCCGGAGCAGAAGCAGGAGCCCAATGGACCGTAAGATCCGATCTGATCGATTTTCCTACCGTGATGCACCTTACAGGAGAGATTCACGTCGGGGTTTCAGGTTTTCTTTTGGAATTTAACTATTTATTTGCTGTATTGCTTTTCTACTTAAATGTATTGGTAGGGGCAGGTGAAGAAGATTGGAGTATGCTTTTGGTAGAAGAGGCTTTGAATCTTTATTATGATATTTGTAAAACCCTAATTATATCCCATTTATTTTCTGTTCTTGTGGTATGCATTCTTCGTTCTGGCTGCTGCTTTGATCAGTTTGGAACTTAAGTGATAGGCTTTTGACTGTCAAGCAGAAGGGTGTGTATTTACACAGCCTTTTAGGATTTGAAACACGAGCATGCATTTCTTACTGTTGAAGAAGATTGAAGTATGCTTTTGGTAGAAGAGGCTCTGAACCTTTATTATTCTGTTTGTAAAACCCCAATTATGTACCATTTATCTTCTTTTCTTGTGGTATGCATTCTTGTTCTGGCTGCTTTGATTAGTTTGGAACTGAAGTGATAGGATTTTGACTGTCAAGAAGAAGGGGTTATTTAAACAGCCTTTTAGGATTTCAAACACCAGCATGCATTTCTTACAGTGGCAACACTAATTTGAGTTTTTTGTCAGCCGAGACAATCTGTGCAAGAACTGCAAGAGGCCTGGTCATTATGCAAGGGAATGCCCTAATGTTGCAATCTGCCACAACTGTGGCCTCCCTGGGTATGAAATCCATTCAGTATTTTTTAAAATTCGAGTATTCAGATTTCAATTAACATGATTATGCTTTAGTCACACTTCTTCTGCTGATAATTCTGCAGTGAAATTTGTTTACCTGGCAGTAATAGTTTTCTTCTTACTCTTAATTTGACTGTGGTTAACTTTCAGTAACATGCCTATTATCATTCCTCTTCTGTTTATTTTTATTTATATGTTAGGACAATGTGGTTTCACTTTTGTTCCTAAAGTTCAATTTCTCCTTTTTTCTACATTTATCTTCTTTTCAAGGATGACACTGAACTTCATTTCAAGAATTTTCTTTTTCTGTATATTGTCGAAGCATTGCAACTTTCAGTGTCTATTATGTTGTCTGAATTTTTTTAAAAAAGTTATTTCCCTTAATTTCCCTGTTAGGTTCCATCTCACAATGGCATCTTTAAATTCAAGGTGTTTATCTTAAACTATTGTATTGTATTAGTTCTATCCAAATTTATATTGCAACTATGTGACATGTTCTGCATGTTTTCTGTGGGTGAAAATAATTTTGCTTCCGGCATCTGATGGTAGTATGTGCGTGAGCGCCTTAGTGTTGCCATGATGACTTTTTGTTGGTCATTGTAATGGTGCTTCTGCCACTCCCTGTAGCCAGACTCTTTTTTCCTTTACCTGCTCTTTGATACGTTTTTGAAACTTTTGTTGTTTGACTTTACAACTTTCAAATCCGAATTTTAAAAAAAGGGTTATCTTTTTGCTTATCTATTTCTATCGGATTTGTGAATTCAAATTCTCAATTATACCACATCTGGTGACTGGGGCTTACTTTTCTGGATTTAAATGTTTGATCAGGCACATTGCTTCTGAATGTACCACAAAGTCACTCTGCTGGAACTGTAAAGAACCTGGTCACATGGCCAGTAATTGTCCAAATGAGGGAATTTGCCATACCTGTGGTAAAGCTGGACACCGTGCTAGGGAATGCACCGCTCCTCCAATGCCTCCAGGAGACTTAAGGTTGTGCAACAACTGTTATAAGCAGGGCCACATAGCAGCTGAATGTACGAATGAGAAGGCATGCAACAACTGTAGGAAGACAGGCCACTTGGCACGTGATTGTCCTAACGATCCTATTTGTAACTTGTGCAATGTTTCTGGGCATGTGGCTAGGCAGTGTCCAAAAGCCAATGTTATTGGAGATCGCAGTGGTGGTGGCGGAGGCGGAGGCGGTGGAGCTCGTGGTGGTGGTGGTGGTTACCGAGATGTTATTTGCAGGAACTGTCAGCAATTAGGTCACATGAGTAGGGATTGCATGGGCCCCTTGATGATTTGCCACAATTGTGGAGGTCGTGGTCACCTGGCATATGAGTGCCCTTCAGGTCGGTTTATGGATCGCTACCCCAGGAGGTATTGATGGATGGAAATTTATGCGTTCAGTAATATGGATGTTTTTTCTATGATTTTCTTGCCAAAGACAGATTCATGAGTCCTGGTAGAGTATGTGTTTGGCTTTTTATTATTTTTAATTTGCTAGAGAGACATGAGAATGATGCCAATTTATCGGCCATTTATAGTTTATGATATCGTGCTTGTGCTAGGAATAAGAATTTGCTACTTCTGGAAGACCTGGTATTGTATTTATTCAGAGTTACCTCATGACGTTTCTTTTCTTTGTCTAGGGCATTACAGGGATTTAATGGTTGCTTATATTTATTTATTGCCAGTAGTTTTTAAAATTAGTTTTCCCAAGATTTGTTGATTAGTAATCCAGTCTTGAAGCGGACGCAAAAGACCAACCTTTTTAAAATTTTCAATATCATTTGTATGAATTAGCATACATATATTAACAAAATTAAAAAAGGGATTCATATAATAAAAAAAATGAATGGATGGCTAGAAACACCAAAATACACAAAAGATTAGTAACGTATATTTATTTTTTAAATTATCCAAAAGAGTATTTATGTATAATAGAAAAAGAATACTAATGGGGACTTGAAGTTGGTAGAAAAAATAAGGCAGTACTCCACCCAATTCCGATCTAGAGTATACTTCCATTCATTGATTGAATAAATAACTATCAGGAACGAAAAAATCCTTTAATTTTTTGAAGTCCCCTTTCTTTTGCTTGCACAAAAAAGAAAAAGGATAAGAGGTCAAAGTGATCTCCTTTTTCTAAAAATTAGTCTAAAAATTAGTCTAAGCAATGTGTACCGATGAAATTATTGTCAATTTGGAATAAAAAATAATTTCCTTTTTTAATTTGATGTACGTGATGAAATTATTTTTAAGACAAAAAAAAGCCTAAATAATGAAATAAATTTGTAATTTCCTTTAGCCATTTTGTCTGACATTATATATTTCTAGATTGGACGAGGCATTTATTAGTTAATTGTCTAGTAAGACGTGGTTTTAAACTTTGGACTTTGTGGTAATAACTATTATTTTCAGTTATCTGAGTGATTTATCCATTAGCTTTTGCAACTATAAATTCTTCCATAAATGGCTAAAGCGCTTCTAACAATAAAATAAGCATCAGGCAGTGTTTTTTAGTGGATTTGAAGATAAATTTTTTTTCGTTTATTTGAGTGAATTTGGAAGTAAACAAAAATGAATTTGGAAATAAATTTTTTTAATTTGTCACATCAATACAATTTTATACTAATTCTTACAAATTTTATTTTCAAATTCATTCTTATTTACCTCCAAATTTACTCAAATAAACGACAAAAAAATTTATTTTCAAATTCTCTCAAATCCACTCAAAAGAACATGGTCTTATTGTCAAAAAAAAATACTTGAAATTTTTTTGTAGAAATTTGAGATTAAACAAAACCTTAACATATACTCCTGTGCCACTTCAAGGACACAAATCAGTCCTATTTTTTATTTTTTTCAATAAATGTTGGTTACATATGTGATAGCTTTTTATACACTTTCTCGTTACGTTTTATTTTTATCGGGAAAAAACCGTGGTAAAAGAAGACTGATTTTATTGTATGATTTTTTTTTAAAGATAAGAAAATCTAGATATTCTTCCTCTTTATATTCACTGACAGAAAATATACGTGTCGTTATTTGAAAAAGTGGGATATATTAGAGAAGCATGACGTGGGTCAATAGCGACGGCCGAAGACATCATAAAAGCGAGCCCATTCCCAAGTTCATTGCATTGACCTTTCTATCCGCAGAACATTACCAGTTATGGCTGAATCGGGCGACAAAGAGATAGCTGGTACACCCGTTCAAGAGTTGGTGTTGAATCCTCAAAATGTGCCAAAAAGTTACATTTACGAGGAAGGTGGTTCTGGATTTCGAGATGCTCTTTTGCCATCACAGGATGATGATGATATTCCTGTGATCGATCTCCATCGCCTCTCATCTCCATTCACAGCACAACATGAACTTGCTAAACTTCACCACGCACTCCATTCATGGGGCTGCTTTCAGGTACCCCTTTCTACTAATCTAAACATCATCTCTTTTAATCGTCACAACACTCTAGAAAGAAACAGTATAACTAATTAAGATACCCATTTTTTTAATGATTTTTTGAATAAAATTTATTTCAAGCTACAAAATTACAAGAAAAAGTTTATTTTATGTTGAAAGTGTATTGGGGTAAATGTAGTTGAGTTGCTTTCTTCATGATTTTGTAAAATCATACAATATCAAAGAAAATATTGGAGTTAGACACTGAAGTTAGGGATGACTTTATTTTCTGTTATTCTCAATTATTTTGTGGGATTCAGGCAATAAACCATGGAATGGAAAGCTCATTTCTGGACAAGGTGAGAGAAGTTTCAAAGCAGTTCTTTCAACTTCCAAAGGAAGAAAAGAAAAAGTGTGCAAGGGAACCAAACGATATCGAAGGATATGGAAATGATATAATATATTCAAAACAGCAAAGGCTTGATTGGACTGACAGAGTGTACCTTAAGGTCCTACCTGAAGATCAGAGGCAATTCAAATTTTGGCCTCAAAGCCCTAATGATTTCAGGTATACATTCTTGTCACTTCTGCCTCTCAATAACAATAGCCAGTTATTTCCAGCAAAAACTTAAATACATATAGACTTTTATGTTTATGATAGATTTCTTCTTAAATATTTATACGAAAAATATATATGTGAATTGGTTTTAACTTATGGTAAGCATCATTATTTTATTTTATTTTCATATAATTAAATACCGAGTTTATCTGATTAAATTAGACTTATACAGTTTTAGAAAAGTAATAAGAAAATTCATCCATTTCTCTTGTACTAGCGACGCAAACATTCTCTCCTATTAATCATACTGGCTATCTCAATGCAGGAGTACTGTCCTACAATATACCGAAAGCCTAAGGCTGCTAAGTGAAGTAATCCATAAGGCCATGGCCAAGTCATTGAATTTGGAGGAAAATTCCTTCCTAAATGAAACCGGAGAGAGATCTAATATGTTTCTGAGGTTCAACTATTACCCTCCATGTCCAATGCCTGATCATGTTCTAGGCGTGAAGCCACATGCAGATGGATCCACCATTACTTTTCTGTTGCAAGATAACGAAGTAGAAGGCCTCCAAGTCCTCAAAGATGATCAGTGGTTTAAAGTTCCAATCATCCCTGGTGCTCTCTTAATAAATGTTGGTGATCAAATAGAGGTAATAGCTTAAGTTTCTTATTCTAGTTAGACTTTTGTGATTATCATTCTTTAATGGATTAACTATGGTTTTAGTTTCTAACCTTTTACACGAAATTGGAATTGGTCTTTGTTTTAAACCTTGATAAATTTTGGTTCCTAATTTTTAAAATTGAATGGATTTAGTTATTTTAAGCCAATGACTTTATTTTTTTTATATGTTAAATGAAGTTTGAGACTAGCATTTGAGTTAGAACGTATAAAAACGATATATAAAGAGTTCAAATTCCAACCTGAAATGTGTTTGATACATACAAAACAAATTAATGCTACTAGATTAAAATGATTATATTAATTTTTTTTTAAAGTTTGAGACGAAAATATACAAAGATACATAAATGAATTCCAATTTCGTGTCTTTAGAGATTAAAAACATATTTCACTTTTTTTTTAATTGATGTACATATTATATCTGTTGCATCATTTTTCAATGAAATGTCATCATTTAATTCATGCAAAGAACAAACCTGTCGATAGATTTGATTGATACAGCAGAAAGTTTTGTGCATGCTAACATGACAGAAAGGAAGGATTGAGTGAGAGTTGGTTTGAATGTGACTAAAAACAGATAATGAGCAATGGAATTTTCCGGAGCCCTGTGCACAGGGTAGTGATAAATAAAGAGAAGGAAAGGCTAACAGCAGCAATGTTCTGCATCCCGGATCCAGAAAAAGTGATCAAACCGTTGGATAAGCTAGTGGACGAGACAAGGCCAATATTATACAGACCTGTCAAAAATTATGTTGAGATCTATTTCCAATATTACCAGCAAGGGAAGAGACCAATGGAAGCTTCGAAGATTTAGGTTTTGATTAAGCCCAATGTTTCTCCTGATTTGGTTAAATAAAACAGAACAAAGATGCTGCCAAATTTCAAGTTATGATCCCTGCTATAAACTGCATTCTTGTTTAGTTGTTAGATAACTAACGATAATGATACTTTGTTCTTTTGAGTAGATTTGAGAGGATGAATTTGAGGGAATTTGAGAGGATTTGAAGATAATTTTTTTTATCGTTTATTTGAGTGAATTTGGAGATAAATGAGAGTGAATTTGGAAATAAAATTTGTGAGAATTAGTATAAAATTGTATTCACATGACAAATTAAAAAAAATTATTTCCATGTTAATATTATTTACGTGTCATTGGTCCATGTTAGTGTTTATAATTATTATTATTGATTGTAGAGTAATTTTGGACTAATAACATAATGACACATGTTATAATATTGTCAAAAAATGATGTCAAAAGTATCATTATCCATATCTAAATGCATGATGACTGCATTTACCTACAACTTTCCTCTCAGTTTATCTCTTCACTCTTTTGCATCATGTTCTTTTGATACTACGAATTTTTTGTGTTGGACTAGAGTATCTATATGCTGGAAGTCAATTGATATATTATTATCAAAATATTGAGATTCATGTTTTCATACGAATAAACCGATGGTCGAGATCTTCTAGACTATACGTTTTGTCACCATAATAGTAGTAAAATGAAATGATGATAGTAATAACGATTGTATCAATGACTATAATGGGTTGAAGTAATAATTTACATCTTGTGAATATGTTGATGTGTATTCTATAATTTTATTATGTATAAATTTTATGTTTTATATTCTTATTACTTTTATGATTAATTAATTATAAAATTAAAAAATGAATATGATTTAATAAAAATAGTATTAAAAAATTATGTTATTTTATTCTATTTTAAATTATATAGTATTTGAAATAAAGAGAAGATATTCAATTATTTTTTTTATTAAATAAATAATTAAATTAATTTTATTTATCGAAAAGTAAAAAAAATCTGATTAAAAGATGACACTAGAAAAACTATGGCTGTATCCTTCTATGATATAGATATTTTTTTTTGTTATTACCACTATTTTTTTTATCCACGACCTTATTTTTAGCTTATTTTTTAATGAGATAAATTTACACATTATTAAATTAAACTATTTTTTTATTTGATAAAATATGCAATCCT